TGAAAAAGATTTATATCTCTATTTTACAGTTGCACCTTCACATGTGACAATGAGGTCCAGGAAGAGAGTTCTGTTTCTTTGAGATCTTAATAACAGAGAAATTGGTTAAAGGAGAGGAGTTCAATATATAAGTCTGATCTACAGGGAACAAAATCACTACAAGGAAGAAAAAAAAAAAGTCTAAAAAGTCTTTGTCTCTAGTTCCCATCTTTTGCGTGCAAGTGTTTCATTTTGTATTCCACATGAGTGAAGGCAGGAATTTTGAGAAAAACCACTTCTATTTATTACTTTAATTTGGAACCATTTTTGTAAGGTACTGATAAAAAAAAAAAAAAAAAAAAAAAAAGGAAGATATAAAAGTCCATAAAAAGTTATATACTCTCAGATTTCCTAGTGAAAGAAAATGAGTCTCATTTTTAAACCCATTATTCCTTCCTTTAGATTGAGTAATGCATCTGACCTAGCCTGTGCTTCCTTGTTTCCATCCTTGTTGATGAGACACATGAACAGCATTTATTTTCTGGCTGCCCTCTTCTTTTCTCCTCTCTTCTCCGTCTCTTCTCAAGTACTTGGATGCACATATAGCATATTTCATCTTCATGCATCTTCTTGCATGATGAAGCATCTGCCGGTGGTGCTGAAGCTACTGGCAGTGCCTGTGTTTGCCCCAGAGCACATTACAGATGGTAGTGTCATTGCAGATAATGATAGCCTGATATACTCGTGGTAGCAACAGGGGACAGCTGCTGCTTCTATTCAGTTTTCAGTGGCAGATCCACACTGCAGAATGGGGCGAAGGGGGGAAACTCAAAATAAGCAGACCTGGCAATTTAGGTAATGGCCACTGGGTGGGGCAAAAGTGCACATCATTAAAAAAAATAAATAAAAAATAACGCATCTGATGATTTGTCAGAAACAACATAACATGAGAATCAGAAGCACGACTCTTTAGGGTGGCCAGGAGATTCTCAAATATGTGAAAATTCATTGTCTACATATGAAATAATTCTCCATGTATTACTTCCACAACTATTACAACAGATTACATCCCACATTGGAGTATTTCAAAGCACTCTGTCTCTCAGGATATGAATGTGAGTAAATCACACCCTATAATCTTCCAGCATTCTCAGTGCTTTTTACAGGGGGGATTTACACTTATACACAACATAAGCACTTAAAAACCCACTAAAAAATGGCTAAGGACCTTTCTTACAGAGACTGTAAGCATCTAAAGTACATGCTTTTGGCCTTTGTGCAGCATAGTCTACAAAGAAAAGCCGGGACAGACCATGATAATAAGTAGAAATTTATCACTATTTTTATTGAATTATTTTTATTTTGACAGATTACATTTGTCCTATTTCTCAGCATAATAGCTTGAGATCCTAAAAGAAAATGTACGTGTTTTTAATGATTAACATGATTTTAGTGCAAATCAGCATTTTGTCCTCTTACAGTCAGCAAAAATAATAAGAGCATGGGCTTCAGATTATCCTGCATCCATGTTCAGCCAATGTATCAGAAACATAGGACTCAAGACAGCAGCTGAACAAAAAATCTCCCTGTGCATGACCTTTATTTCTTGTAGATCATCTTACCCATACTCAGATCTGCAGTCTGTTTTCAGCACTAATATGACTATTCTGCATCAGGTTCTTGAAAAGACTTATTTCCAAAGAACCGCTTTTCTTTGGTATTTTTTAATGTGAAGAATTACTGGCATGAATTCAGCAAGTCCTTAAGAAAGAAGTCATGGGGAAGAAGGGAAGAAGTAATTTTGACATTTTTAATAATATCTCCCAGACTCATCCCTGAAGCGTTATCATAAAATAAATAAATAAAAGAATCCCCATTGTGTTTCTAATGCAATTTCTGTTTTCTAAATTAGTCAAAGGAATTAATCCACATGCAGTTGTCTAAGCAATGAATTAGAGTATTGTCCTTTCTCTTCAGAGAAGGTCTTAAAAATACATATACACACATATATGTATATATATATAAAAATATTTTTCCTTATTATCTTTCTAGTTCTTCCTGGCTACACCCACCTCTAAGTCTAGGACTCTGTATTTATGAACTCTGTAACTATTTTCACATATGTGATAGGGTCAGTGGACAGGGAAGCCTATACAATACAGTAACATTTTCTAGAGGGAGAAAACACCTCTGTATCTTATTTTCAGCAAAAATACTAAAGCAAGGTGATAAAAGCCATTATATTTCCTCAGCCATTTAACTCCATGGCACCATTTTTTCAAAACTAGTTCTTTTTTACCAGACATCTTGATTAGATCTACTTCCTATGACTAAAGTAACCATCTGCCAACATTGCCAGTCCTTCTGCTCCTAGAGAGGACTATTTCATCTAACTCTTTTTAGAGGAACTGACCACCTGGACATATTTCTACTTGCAGTGCTTGGCCTACAAAAATGAGCTGCTGATTTCAGTCTGTTTCCTGCTAGTGAGGCATAACAATCAGCAAAAATCATTAGAACAGATGTTGCTATCTGTTAGTGACTTTAAAAGAGGAGACATTGGAGAGCTGAACTACTTTTCAGAAGTTTCCAGATGTCAAATGGTCTAATGCACATCACTTTTCTTAATGGTCCTAGCCTGTGGATAAGTGAAATTAATTTTTCACTGTTGCCAACTTTGCATTTTTCAAAATATTAAAAACTAAAATTAAGGAAAGCAAACACAGTCACAGATAACAGTGAACTTATCCACAGAGCTTTGACTGCAAGGAATCATTTCGAAAGGAGTGCCTTTTGATTGCCATGCTGAGACAGTAATAATAAAAAAAAAAAAAAAAGACATTGAAAAAAAAATAATATCAACAGTATACGTAGTTTTACAAGAAGGGGAATGACTCAAATATAGAGATGCTACCCTATGCTCTCCAAGAATGTGCATAATAAAGTATATTATTATATTATGTATGTGATATTGGATATAGAACTCACAACTTCTGTCCTGTAATGACAAGATCATCTTCCCACTCCAACAAATTTATTCTTGCACTGCAAAGCTAAGCTAATAGTGCTTCTTAATAAATGTCATTACTGATAAAGCTTATTACTTAAAAGATTACACACAGTTGTAGTACAACTGCCAGTCAAACTGTATCTACTTATACCAGGGCTGAAACTGCTTTGTAAATCATTATAAACTCTGAAGTACTTCACACATGTAACTAACTATGACCCTATAAATGAAAATACTGAAACGTAAGTTTGGGACTTTACTCTGCTAACTTTCTCTTCTATCACTTGTACAGTAAAAAGCTGTCTTTCAAATTTATTCGGTTTTGGGGCCCTGTGTTGGCTTCAGCATAGTATAACTCTGCTTTCCAAGATATCTTCTTCCAAACATTAGTAGTCTGTAGGTTGTTCATCTTCAAAAAATTAGTCATGATCCCAGTATAAAATAGCTAAGACCTTCCTTTCCAACCTACACAGTGAGTGCAGTGAAGATTTCCATTTAGATTTGTATCTCCTAACTTACCATCCTTGGTAATGGCTTAGACCATTGAAAAGTTCTGCTTTGTAGCTCCTTTTTCGTAATTGTGTTGGGAATTAAATGTTGCAATACATTCAACCTGGATTTGATATTCAATAAACTATTGTCAATAGCAACTTGAAATATTCATTTAAGGCCTAAAGTAAATTTAATAAAAATTGCATATGAGTTAATTAACATAAAACAGCCAAATGCAAAATGAATTACATAAACTAAAATAAAGTTCATGTTTTAATCAGCAAAGCCTTGTTGCTTAACAGCTCCTTCAGGCTTAATGTTCAGCTTAGTTTCTGGATCACACACTTTCAAATTGCTCCACAGAGACATAAATCTGACTGTAGCTACTGTATACTCTTGTGAGAGTGAGTACATGTGTATATTTCTGAGTCGGAATGTAAAATATAGTGTGCTGGTACATTGCATATGCATTAATCTTTTCTGTAGTAGAAAAAAATATATTGTAATATTTTTATCGTACAGAACACTGTCAAAAATCTTCAATTTTCTTTTGTTTGGGGTGGCACTATTGAAATTCAAGATCGTTAGACTCAATGAGTATGCATAAAAACAGAATAAGGTTATTGACTTCACTGGAGTTTTTCAGAATAGACGTCAATAGGTTTAAAGTCCAAAATAGTCCAAAATTTCCTCCATTGAAGTATCTTCACTGCTATATTTTTATTTTCTGAGACTAAACATTCTTTTCACAATCTCTTAATTCATCATTTCAAGACACACAAATTTCAAAATTATGTCAGAATTTATACCTAAAACCAGTCAACTAGATAAATTATCCAGATTATGCCACATGCACTAACCTGTTCTGACTGATTTGCTGTGCTTCATCATGCATTCCTCTGATGACCATGATCACAAGTGAAAATACAACTTTGAGATGTCTATTTTTTTTCCTCCAGTTTCTTCCTCAAGTTAAGAAAAAAATTGACCACCACATGCTCAGTGCAACACAGAGGCCATCCTGAAGCTTCAGTAGAGAAACACAATATAGTTAGGAATGTTGTTGATTGACAAGATAGAGAAGTAAGTGATCAGTACATTAGTTGGCCACTTCTTGAATCTAAAGTGAGTAGGCTGAACTCCCAGCAGATGTCCACTGCTGACCCCCTTCCCCCCCCCCCCCCCGTCCCCCTTCCCTGCCCATTACTCTGCCCTGGCTGTTGTGTCCCTTTCTGGGAAGATACAGAGAGAAAAGTTTTCCAACACTATTTGCAGCACAGGGTCCATATATGGTCTATGTATCAGAGAGGTATTTTTGGTGGTGGTAGCTGGCTCTTTTTTTGAGGGGGGGGGGTTAATGGGGGGGGGGGGGGAGGTGTATACTCAAAGGTATGCCTGAGCATTCCAGATAAATGTGGGGAAAAAAATAAAAAAGAAAAAGGGAAAAAAACAAAACAAAACACAACAACAACAAAACAACACAACAACAACAACAACAAACACTTTATTTTCTGTCACTTTCTACATGGAAATCTGCTTGTATTATTTTACATGCATACTAAGAATCTAGTCTACTCTTCAGTCTCTGTTTCTGTTAAGGACTGATGATGTAAAATGTCTTGAGTTTTTCTTTTCTACTTTTCCCTATCTGTACAATCCTAATGGTGCTAGCTTGTACCACAAAGACTGTGCAATTTAATAGAAGGGTTAGGAAGAGCTTTTTGAGCCTCAGGTGGAAAGTTTCACACAAGTGCAAAGTGTCTTTTTATTTTCTGAAGGCTATAAAAGAATCTGCAGCTCAGAACAACCTTGTGAAAAGCAGTTCTCAGAGGCAAAATAGTTTATGATTCTATCTAAGCCAAGCAGGTAGATGCTGTTGTGGAAGTTGTGTAATTCATGAACAACTAATTGAATTCTAGAAACTTTTATGTGGCAGCAATCACTGAATGAAAAAATTATAATATTCACAATGAGTATCTGTTGTTGTTTGTTTTGTTGTCTGTTTTTAAGCAGTACAGATTTCAAGTACTGGGATTGGTGATTGCTGTTAAGGAAGGTCCCCTCTGCACACTATATTTTGCAAGAAATGTTTGTGAAGAAAATTCTGGTAATTCTTTTACTATTTATTTGACTTAAAGAGTCACTACATGGAAATTTCTGGAGTTAATCACATATTGAATGCAAATATTTTTAAGACAACCTATCTGACAGCTGGAAAACAAGAATCCCTCAAGTACATGTTTTATTTTAAGCTAAGTTACTAAAATACAAGCTTTTGATAACTAACATTTAAAATTGGAAATGCTTTCTCAGGAACCAACAACTCTGCATCAACATCTCACCATTAGATCCACCCTGTAAAACTGGATATGGAGGAAAGCACTCAGGCTTCTTTATATATTATTTCCACTAATTTTTCTTTGCACAAACTTTTCAAAAGAAAGAGGCCTAGTGGACTCCCAAACCAGTTTAAAGACAACAAAGTCACAGGAACATCACAAACTGTGAAAATAACTATTGAAATGAAACTATCAAATAAGTATTGGCAAGGGCTTTCCTTGTGTTGTACCCAAGGCTGTAATTTCACTTGTCCCAATGGAATCTTCTTTGGTGATACAGAGGCAAATAATACTCTTCCTAAAATAATATTTCTTGGAAAATTTTTGTTGCCTGACCACTGATATTTTCCATAAGAGAGGATGATCCTGATTAAGACATAGAAGAAAGCATGGTAAGAGATTTACTTCCATTTTAAAGCAGATCACATGAACTGAAACAGAGAAAGGATATCAGTCCTAGAGCTATAACTTGTGCAGTCTTTCCATCAGGTTCAGATACAGCACATGCTGTTGCAAAAAGAGTCACAGTGAGATTGTCAGTAAAATGCCCCCAAATCAACACAAAACTAGAGGTCAAAACAAAAGTGGAGGAAAAAATCACTTCCTGAGCAATCTCCAAAGAACTGCAAGGCCAGGTTAAGTGCAGTTTATGCAATTCTTCCTAAAGAGGAGATTCTATATATTTATAGAGCTGCAATCCTGATGCTCAGGCTCAAGCAAATGAAAGCTGAGTGCAGAATACATTTTCTTCGTATCAATCTTAGCTGTTGTGCCACAAACAACTGACCCTGTAGATGGCTTGCATCACAAGTTCTATCAGTCATTGGATCTTTCAATTGCTGTGTTTCCTTACCTGGGATCTGTGCCCAGCAGCATATTTTGTGTTCTGAGAGACTGTTCATCAGTTGTAAGGAGAACCATTCAGAGTAAAGCAGAGAATCTCACTGGACAAGGAAGAGAGGCTTATGTGCCAAGATATAACTAAAAATAAAATATTCAATATCAAAGTTAATATGCCTTACAATTAAAAATAGCATAGTTTTTAAGAACTTGCTTATTTGTAGAGTTGTTTCTAAATACAACTTACATACAATTCAAAACCTTTTGAGAAACTATATATACAAACTACAGAATCCACTTTACTGTATAAAACATTTTAATTTTAATCTTTTAATCATCTTAATAGAGCTTGTAAATAGAGCTGTAAATTCAGCATTTACGGTCATTCTAAATAGCATGGTATTATTGATTTGACTTATAATGTCCCAGCAGATCAGTTTCATGCATTTTTTCCTCAAAACCAAGCAAATTGACTTGAAAAGTGAATTCACATTTTAGTTTCTGATTATGTCTCAGAACTACTGCTCAATATTAGATGAACCAAACAACAAACTGAAATTGTCATATTCTTGCAGTTCTTATTTTCAGAGCATATTTACTTCTTAAGATTTGATAGAAACATCCATCAATATATCTCCCAGATACACGGAACTGACTTTGAGAACTAAAGGTAGAATGATCAAAGTGTGAAGAATTGACACCTTCACAACAATGAAGATCTTACAGTACTGGGATTGTTGTTTTCAGCTTGCTCATCTGAGCATGGATGGCTTTGCTAGGGACAGAGGTTTAAGTTTAGCAAATCAGCCTAGTTTACCACATACTTAAAATTAGTTTCCATAATGATCATCACTGACTTTGATTTCAGGTGCATGCTGTAATTTTTATTTTCTCCCATAGAATAAGGCTGTGAAATCAGCATCTTGCTTTACACTGATTATTTCTTAATCACCATAGAAATTTATATATAATAAATAAGGAAACATACCCTCAAACGTTTTTTTTTCTCTCTCTCTATGTTTTTCTTCTTGTAAAAACAGATTTCTGTTGACTATTTGTATTCTGCTTTAAAATATTCTTTTTATTTCCAAAATTCATTGCTTCAAACTTTTACTTGTGATTTCTTCATTTCACATTGCAGGAAAATAGATGAGTGCATTGAATTGCTTTTTATAGGTTTCAGTGTCTAATGACTACAATTTTAAAAAATATAGAGGGCACTTGATATCCAGTTCAGTTCCTTCATGTCTATAGGAAAGTAGAAACCTCATCAGACACCAGCTTTGTAGGCTGATTCTTCTTTTCATTTAAGAAATGTTCTTTTAAAATGCATTTTCTTTTGAAAGGTCTTGTAGGAAGCAGTCATGGAATGACCTTTGCCATAATCTCTGTAATTAGAGATCAGGCCTGGGACAAAGTGACCCTATGTATTCATGATACTTCTGAAGAAATTTAGTTTGTGTGCTATTTGGGAACTTTTCTGTGTTAACATTGTTGTATTTACTGAATGTAAAATATCTTATACTAGAAAAAGTACTGTTTAGGTTCTTCAAGATGATTTTTCTACCAAGAGAAAATAAGCACTGAATTAAAAAAAAAACAAAAAAACAAAAAAAACACACACACAAAAAAAACTCCTCTGATTCGTGCAAAGAAATCTTAATCTCTGTCCACATAAAAGGATGCTAATAAAAATCTAAAGTCTAAACTGTGGCTTATTCCTGTCTGTTTTTGGTAAGTTTATCCTGCTACCTTATGATGAACTTCACTTAAGTTCTGTACCAAAGGATAAGAACTGCTTTCAGGAAAAAAAAAAAAAAAGTCTGTTTGGAACAAATAATTGGTCTAACTGGACCAAGTAATTTTGGGTGTAAATCTATAGCAGAGTTCTTGTGAAGAAATTGTGTGAGTGTTCTTACTGTTTCTGATTGTAAGGTGAGATAACCTGTATATCCCCTAGGTATCCTACAAAGACAAAAACTTTATCAAAAGTGTCGTGTTACATCAGAGTACCTGATACATTAAATAACATTATATACCTCATTATACCACTGTATATTACACTGTAGCTATTTGTGGGAACTGCCTATGAAACTGGAATTTATCTAAATTTCTGAGTTTAAACAGTATTCAAATACATGTTCTAAGAGCATGGATTGAAGGTTTCGAAGTCAGGTAAGTAGTTAGAACACCTTTATAACTGTCTCCTAATGGAAAAGCATCACAGTTATACTTGAAGTCTAGCCAAACTGAGAACAGTGTTTATTCTGAACTGGAAGTATCAAAAGTAGTCTAAAATTGCACTTCAAGTATTTTATGAAGTAGATGTTATCAGTATGGCTTAGTCTCAAATTATCCCACAGGTTGTGTTCCCTCCCCACCCCCTTATTTATTCTTAACTTAAATAGCATCCAAAGAAGTACCAGAAAATGTATAGAGGGAAAATATACTGCATGAAAATGAACGTATTAATGAAAGCCTCTGGTCTGGAAGGGAGCTTGTTCTTCTTCATGATATGCTACCCAGTGGCATTTCTTCAGGCTTAAGTAGCCTGAAAGAGTCAGGGAATATTACTTTATGGAACACTTTATCTTGGAAAGACATCTGTATCCTAAATCATCACTTTATGGCTAGTACAATTTTCCTTGTCTTCAGTGAGAGTTTTATCTAAATAAATAGTGAAGGACCTGTAGATATTTATATACACACACAGATGCATAGACATACATATATAAATACGGAATAGGCAAATTTCAAAATAGGATAAATGAAAAAGAATAAGAAGGATAACAGTAAAAAATGAGTGTCAGGTTTTAGAAATGGTGAAAATACCATTTCAACTGCCAAGTACATTGAAATTTAAACGTAAAGTGTTTCTATTTCAAAAAGAAAGCTGATGGCATTAAATTCTGTGTTATAAGGAATTTTTAGCATTGATTTTTGTCTGTTACTTTTCCTAAGGTAAAAGAGTTCAGGGTGATTCATATAGGAAAATAAGTGTTAATATATACTCTTTGGAACAAGTAGTTCATGTTTGTAAAGTGCTTTGAGGAAGCACTGTACATAGGAGGAGATATACTGCACAACTCCTCTGGCTATATCCCGTTCACACATTATGACATTTTATAATTTTTAACTGATCAGTAATTGATACAGCATTCCTTCCTGGACAAAAGCTGAGTGAAAGAGCTTATCATTGGATTGGTTCTAGTAAGGTAAAAAGGTGACACAACATATACTTAGACAAGTTTCTGCAAGGTAACTAGTTCTGTGACTGCATTATTCAATTATTATGTAGGATTTGCAGTACTCATTCAGATCTGTATTGGGCTCATGTGGCAAGGTTTTGTTAGAGGGGAGGCTACAGAGGTGGCCTCTGTGAGTAGGTTTCAGAAACTGTCCCAAGTTAACTATGAGACAGTCCCAGCTAGCTCCAAAAGGGATCCGCCACTGTCCAGAGGCAAGCCAATTAGTGACACAGGTTGCGCCTTTGTAACAGGAGATTTAAGAAAGGAACAAACTGCTATGCAACATCTAGGAAAGAGGAGTGAGAAAATGATAAGAGAACCAGCTCTGCAGTCAGTGCAGCAGGAGGGCAGGAGGTGCTCCAGGCACCAGAGCACAAGTTCCCCTGCGGCCTGTGGAGAGGCCCCAGGTGGAGCAGGCTGTCCCCCTGCAGCCCATGGGTCCCACATGGCGCAGATCTCCATGCTGCAGCCCATGGAGGAGTCACCAGCGGAGCAGGTGGATGTGGCCTGGAGGAGGCTGAGGCACATGGAGAGCCCCCGCAGGAGCAGGCCCCAGTCTGGAGCTGGAGAGGAGCACATGCAGAAGCAGGGGTGGTCTGGGGGGGGGGCTGCTGCCCATGGGGGACCCGTGCTGGAGCAGTCCTTCCCTGAAGAACTGCACCCCATGGTATAGGCCTGTAGCTTCATGAAGAGCAGTTTGTGGGAAACCTGTCATTTCAAAACCTGTCCTGATCATTTCAGGAAGGATGGCATCTTATGGGAGAGACCCCATGTTGGAGATTGGGAAGGTCATTAACATGAAGGAATGGCCTAGAAGAAGTGTTATGGACTGACCAAAGTCCCCATTCCCCTGCACCACTCAAGGGAAGGGTGTTGGAGAGGGTGGATGGGATGGGGGGGGGTTAGGTGGTTGGGGGGGGGGATAAGGAGGAAAGAGAGGAAGGGGAAGGCATTTTCAATTTGCTTTTAGTTTGTCACTGCTCTAATCTGCTAATGATTAGACAATAAATGATATTAATCTCCCTACTCTGAGTCTGTTTTGCCTGTGACAGTAAGTGGTTCTTCAAGTCTTGAGCCCTTTTTCATTGTGTTTTCTCCCATAGTTGCTTTGAGGTAGGGTAGTGAGAGGGCAGTTCTGGTGCAGTTTAGCTAGACAACGATGTGAAACCAGCACAGGATCCATAGCCTATCATGAGCAGAGCCCCCTCTGAGAGAGTGTTTGGGATTGGATTCTTTAAAGTCCTGGAGCCCATTCCCCAGTCACTCCATATCATATAGTCTGCCCTGAGTTTTGAAATGTTTTTGGTTGCAAGCAATGATTCATTGGAACCCCAAGCACAAAATGTTTCAATATGTTTCAATATACAAAAATCTAATTCTTGCTATTTCCTTTGGGAAGATTTCCTTTGGGAAGTTTTTGCATTTGTACACAGACTGAACCAGTGGGCTACCATAGCTCTCATAATTATAATCATCATGAGGGATACTCAAGGAATAATGGTGTGCACAAACTCCAACTCTTGTCTGATTTTCATTCCCTAAAAGCATCTTTACCTCCATCATATCATTTTTAGTCAACTAAATTGGATCCATGTTCTGATTTTATTTCTCTGAGGTATTATTGTACTGCTTGGAGATGAAAGTGCAGTGTAAATTTCTGTATATGCTAATCCTCTCATTTATAATCTTTTCCTTATTCTGGGTTTAAACTAAGCCAAGATCAAAAACCTTCATAATCATTCAGTTTGTGTTTGGTTCAGATTATTTTGTTGATAAATCTTACTTTCCAGAGAGAAAAAGGATACTGCACAAGTGGGAAAGAGTGAAGCTCCTTTACCATGAAAACATGACTGGAGTTTTTACTAAAACCTGAATTACATTTTTAATTTATTGGCATTTCAGTCCATATTCATTGTACCTCCTATGAGCCTCTATTTAATTTAAACAAGAGAGGAGAGTAGATAGCTTTTTGCAATAGAAGACTTATTACTTTGTAGAGAAGTTGCTTACCATAGGCTCCTAATTTCAATAGGAAAAGAGTAACTGTAGTTGGTAGCCTCAAGGGCCTGGCAGAGTAAGACTTGTGAACTAAACTGAGATAATGAGTTCTCATAGGGCTATGCTCTATAGTCACCATAGTGTTGTTATGAGTATCACCTGGCCTTTCAGCATGGCCATATGCAAATGGATGCCAGAGGTTCTTGTTACTGAGAACCGTTCATAACTGAAGGGAGACCTATGAATGTCCATGAATGGATAGAATGAGCACAGTTTAACCTGAAGGGTTCCCATGGATCCATTGTGGCCTAAATCTCTGAACTGCTGTCCAGTCTTCTTGAAGGTCCTTGATTGCCCTGAGATTGCCAACCAACTACATGTAGTCATGTAATATAAGCACTAAATTAACCAGGTGATCAACCTGTATGCTAACTACAGACAACAAAAACCATGGCCTCTATAGAGAATGAAGCCACTTCAGAGATGAATGAAAAACCTTTTGGTTTCCATCAGCTTGTTTCAGGTAGAAAAAGAAAGACCATGTGGATGTTTTCATTTCCTTATAAATTCTTTCTTCCAGGTAAATAGTCAAGAACAAAACTATAACATATTGTATCCTTCAGACTAGCACATCTCTGTGGTATACCCAGTCCTAGTGTAATACAAAAAATTAAAGTTTTGAAATTGTTTTTATTTGTTTTTCCTTTAATCTGTAAGGATAGTAGATAATAATGAATGTGGTTTGGTGCAGATAAGGCTAGTTCTGGCACTGCTGTGGAAAGAAACTCACTTCTAAGTTGTGAGCAGGAATACATTCTTACTCTGTTTTCTGTCTCCTAATTAGTTTTTAATCCATAACATGACTGTGCATCATCCCCTCTCATCACTTAATATCCTCAGAAGAATGATTTTTTCAAAAGACACTTGAAATTCTAAATAAGTTACGTTGCCTGCTTCTTTATGTATTTTGTTAACTATCCCAAGTAGTAATAGTCCTTTAATAATGTAAAACTCTCTGTAATAATAAACTTTGTTGTTTGTTTGTTTGTTTGTTTTCCTTTTCATGTTTTACTCATCAGAGTTTCTTATGAACCCTGAGTGAGTGATACCAATTAAAACCATAGACATTCAGACTTAGTTACATAGTGGTCTTTCCTGTTCCTATCAGTACTGAAATTGCCTGGAATGTAATACATGTGATATGGATAACGCATCTACTAAAATATGCCTTAACTATAGCCATCCATTAATTCTCTGTAACAGTGAGGGTTTAAAGATTCTTTTCTCTGGTAGCTTCTCTGCTTAAATTTTAAGGGTTAGAGTATTTGGGTTTCAGCCTATGGTCTTCTGAGGTCTATTTATGTAAGACCAGATATCACCAAATAATTTAGATATCATCAAATAATTTTGTATACCTGAATATTAATATTTGAACCATCAAAATGACCTGATGTTGTTATTATTTTTTTTTCAATATGATTTGCTACCCAGAAGGGGCTGGCACAAGCTTTTGCACGCTCAATTGTGGCATGTGTTTTTTTTTTTGCTAGTAGCATCCCAGATGAGAACTTTTTTCCTTCAAAGCATTAATCAAATCCCTTTCTGTTCGCTTGTGCCTATCTTATTAAAGTGCGTATCACCTTGGACTGACAACTGGCAAATACCCATACCCTTCCTGCCTGTCTCCTCAGCTGTATTTGACACTGTCAGTCATACATTGCTGCTTCCATGCTGTACAAATCTGGCAAGTGTAGGCAGAAGCATGCAAGTGACTGATATTTTCTGTCAGATTAATCACAGAAGTCCCCATTTCTATATCCAGATCTTACCATTGAAGTAAGATTCATTAGTAAGATCATTAGTAAGATTCAATTCCTTCCTCTTTCTCATTCAATGTCTATACTTGAGGAAATTATGACTGCAAAGGTTTGGAAAAAGACCAACAAGAAGAACATATAACCCACTAATAGAATGAGATAAAAAGAAGATAATATACCAGCAGATGTACCCAAAGACTGTTTATGTTGAGGTTCCCCAGGTTATGTGGTTGCTGAAGGAAATTTACAGTGAAGATTTCCTTATTGCTTGTTCTTGCTCTCTCATCCCTGCTATTTGTTCCACCCAATTGTGCTGATACAGACTTCTGCTTAAAAGTTGATCCTGGAAGAGGAAAACAAATGGGAAAAATCACTTTTTTTTTTTTTTTCATTGTCTAATTCAATCTGAATCATCGAGCAATGCATTTTACTATGTAGCCTCACACACATGATGTCACCCCAGCTGACAGGAGATGGTGAGCAGTAGCACAGGGATAGGAAGGAGAAGAGGAATGTTTCAGCTGTCTTTGTTGTCAGTGTCACCAAAACACACAATTCCACACTTCACATAGCTGAAAACCATCCCTTATTTAATAGGCATTGGCCACTGTTTATTTTGTCTTGTATATTACAAATAGAAGTGAGTTTTTAGATGCAGCTCTTCAAAATTCATACACATATTATTTCCTGTGCCTTAGAGAAAACAAAGGTTTAACAAGTTCTATGAGGAAAATTTCATGATACAAACTAATATTGTCTTTAACCAGGAAAATAACTGAACTTTTATCTTGAAGATACAGACTTATTTGAGTCTTTTATTTTAAAACTCTTATTTCAATATACAGCTTTTATTTTATTTTTCCTAATATCTGTGTAACAAGCAATAGGATGAAATAGTAAAGAAAGATTGAGATATATCTCAAATTTTTATCTGTTATTCAATGAGTTAAAACCTGTTTTGTTTTGTGTTCTTGTTAAGTCAAGTAGCAGAGACTAGCATACTGCTTGGTACGTTCTTTTCTACAGCTCAACTTTTTTGAGTCAACAGGAGGGTTTTTACATATCTTTTCCCCTAGCTTCCATTTCTATACCTGTTAACTAAGCACATACAAAGATCTTTTTCCTTTCTTCTTCAGCATATTAAACTGCCTCATGAATGAGTGTATTTCAAAGGTCATGTGTTAGACTTCCATTTGAATGCACACACAGAGTAAATGCTGTAATTGCTAATTTCCCCAATCTTAAATTCTTAAATCCATGGTTTTATGAATTAACATAAACATTTTTTTTTTTTTTTTTTTTTTTTTGGAGGGGGAGAGGGGCAGTCTGGTGGAATTTCCCACATACACACAGAGATTTTGCTTCCTGTCAGAGGCATCAAATAATGATGCCTCTTTTGAAGTGGTAAGTGCTTGGTGCTATGGCTTAATGCAGTACTGTATTGTTTTGTTTGACCTCAGCCTCAGAGAGCTGTTGGTCTGATCCTTCGCACAGTAGAAAATACTGTGACCTGATATCTGGGACTGAATCAAGTAATTGTAGGAGATTGGCTGTGCCAAGGAAAGGGGGAGGGTTATGCCTTCATCTTTCCCTGCTAATATGCTGTATGCTCTTATCTCACTTGATAGATTAGAAAGAATTTAAAAAGAGGTAAATACCAAATCTACATCATTTGTATTTTTTTTTCATCTCCCCTGACCCCTTAAGTTAACGGCTGTGTGGCAGTTTCGAGCTACTGAAATGGTTGATAAGATGGTAAGAAATGATGATTATTCCTCTCTAGAAATTGACAGCAGGAATAGTTTAGAGAACTTGTTGGTAATGTTTCTAACAATATTATAGCGGGGGAGAAACTGGTCTGTAATCACACTTACATCAATAATATTCCATCAAGGGTTAAAACAGCAAGTTGTTCCCCAGCCTGAACTGTCTGTGTTACTGTTTTAAATGTTTGCCAATTAAATAATTAGGTGTAACTTAATAAATGTTTGAACATCATTTTCTCTCCCCTTCTCTCAGTCCAACTGTCTTGTAGTTTATGTCACTATGGCCTACTTTTCAGCAAGAGCATGTCTTAATATTGAGTGTATCAAATCTAATCCTACGGTTTATTGTGGGCAACCCCAGTTGGTCCTGTTCTAAGGCTTTCCCTCCCTTTCTGGTGAAAAGCACTTGTACCATGGCCCTGCTGGTGGCCTGAATCACCTCAATTTGTTCTAGCAATCAGAGGCAGCTGCTCCATGTGAAAGGAGTGAGGACCACTGAACAGAGCATTAGGACTGACCTCAGGCTGAATGGAAAAGGCTGAGCCCTTTTTGCAAGGCCAGTCGAGCATGTGCAAACAGATTTGCTGAAGTACAAAATGGTCCAGTGATTTAAAGCAAGTTTTCTTCTCTCTTTCTCTCTTTTCCCTTTCAGAAATGAAACAGGATAGAGGATAGCCTGGGTACAATCTTAGCAACATCTGTTGCCTTTCACTAGGGTCTTGGCCAAGGACAATATCTATTCAAAGAGGTACTGACATTTTATTGAAAGAGAAAAAAGCCTTAAATAGAGAAGCATTTGGACATGTTTCCCAACACACACAGTTGGGTCTTTTTATGGGTCAGAATGCTTTTGGTGAAACACTTTTTTTCCTCTCTTCTCTCTCCCTTTTCTGGTGAAAGTGTCAGAAAACAAATCTTCAGAAAATTATAGAGCTCAGTGGACTTACAATGCTGAAGAACAGTTAAATTTTCCCTTGTTGCTTTCATTCTCTGAACTAAAGAACATTTGACAATTGAAATCTTAACCATGCTTAATAAGAAGAGTGAAGGAATTTATGCTTAAGATTCTTTCACATCTGTTATTTTCTAATTTCTTTTATCTTTTAAAACAGCTACTAATAGAGCTGGAGCAACTGCAGCACTTTGATGTTATTTGTTATGTTTGTTTTCCTGTATACTCTTCTCTCTTCCCCATCACCTCACTCCCCCCAAACACTAATTCTATCCAGCACTTAGGAAGAGGCAATTACCTGTTTCTGTCTCCTTTTTTTTTCCTCACACAGCTTTTCACAGGCAATTTTGCTCTGTCCAACCATGACATGCCTTCATAAAAATGACAGATGAAGCAGCTGAGTAACTGGTGGGTATATTATCCTCCGGAAGGCATCTGCTGCTGAAAAGGTACCTATTCTTTTGTTGGCCTTGGGACTGAGAATGTATATTGCATCTCATACATGAAGCCATTCTTATCAGCTTTCCAATATTTTGAAGATGATCACAGTAAATTAAATAAAAGCTATTCAAAAGAAGTTGAGTTATTCAATTATATAGTTTAGTAACAAAGCTTTGTGTAAGTACAAAATTTTAGATGAAGATAGTGCTCAAGAAGAAATTCTGCAGTGCCTCCAGTTTTATTGAATTTTGTTTGGGTTGTCTGGCCATGGTCATTAAGTAACATGAAAATGTATGGATGAACACTAACTCCATGACATGAAATGACTTAAAAGTATCTGGCTTAAGTGTGTATTGTCTGGATGTGGGTAGTAAATTATTAATATTTATGTGTACGGTGGTAGTTCCCCCTAGGAGTTCTGTCTGTCCTGTGGTTTGTAGAAATATGTGACCTAAAAAGGTCTTGTCTTGGAAAGTTCACAACAGAAATATGACCCAAACTTTAGTGACTAAAAGAACAAAAGCAGTGCTTCTGTTGAAAAACCAAGGCATGTAGGACTGGTAACACTAAGGTCAATGTTGCTGAATGATCAGACACAGCATCCTAGTGACCAGCATCTAGTGTTTCTAAAGGCCAGACTGGAGGAAATACACTGAAAGTGTGAAGGGGATTGAATTGTTCTTAATTCTGGTGCCAGGGCACTACACCATTAACCTCCTAAATGTGGGAAGAAGAACATTCCAGAGGACTGTTATGTTCTTTCAACTGCCCTCAGCCTTTTTCTTTCTCCTTACACCTACAGGCACAAGAAGTAAGAGGAGAAAATAGGAACCGATAAACCTCGATATTGATTCCTGCAACACTATCATGTATATACTGTCTTGGGATATGCATCTTCAGAGCAATGAGAAGAGATTTTCACCGCATTCATTAGGACTTGAGCAAAGTGCTGTGCTCCATACCCTGAGTTAATTTTCAAACTGACAAGGACTTAGATGTTTCATAAAACATATTATTCTCTTATCAAATCCAGTGGTTTTTGTTCTGTTTTGTTGTTCCCCCCCCCCCCCCAGTTTTAATGAACACAGAATCCATCCCAAAACAAGTAGAACTTAGATAGGATTAAGACATTTGTAATGCTTTTAATAGTTTTAACATAAAAGTAATGTTTCAGTTGATTCCTAAGAGGGGAGTGTGTGGGGGGGGGGAAGTTGGAAGCTGATTTTATTAACTTTGTTGAAAATTGATATATATAATGATGTCTCCTTTGGCCTTCACAACAAATGTTAGAATGAGCAGTTCAATATGGTGGAGATAGTCACATTTTTTTTTCTATATTTCACTTACAAAATAATTTCTATCTGCTTCCTGTACAACTGCTTACATGTCATTTTAGAATTCTCTCTCCATAAATATTCAGGTATAGGAGTTTAGCATTTAGCTTAACATTCAGACATGAAAAGTTTGATTGCCTGAAGGTGAAAAAGTAGGGTCACCAGCAAGATCCTTGCGTATAGTGTTTCTAGTGCATATAATGCTTAGACTGTACATTTTGTAAATGTTAGTGTTGTTGCATTTTATTTTTATATTTTGAAGGAGAGAGAGAGCTTGTCCAATTATTGCTGTGGTCAGGGGAAAAATATACAAATAAAATCTGTTTACTCTGCTAATGTGTTCACACAGGGAAGGTTATGAGATCTTGAATATCAGTCATGATGCAATAACGTAGTTTTAGCTAATTATTCAGAAAATCTTTCTAAAATTGCAGCTGTAATCTCTGATTTTGTTTATGAAAATATTTGAGTTTGTATTGACAAGCTATGGGCTTAGAGGTCAATGAAGGAGTTATTCACATTAGTTTCATACAGAAATGCAGAATCCAGGCTGTAACTTGAAGTGATACATCTTGCTGTGTATGAGCTTTTACTGTTGTTTTTTCTCTTTCTTTCTTTCTTTCTTTCTTTCTTTCTTTCTTTCTTTCTTTCTTTCTTTCTTTCTTTCTTTCTTTCTTTCTTTCTTTCTTTCTTTCTTTCTTTCTTTCTTTCTTTCTTTCTTTCTTTCTTTCTTTCTTTCTTTCTTTCTTTCTTTCTTTCTTTCTTTCTTTCTTTCTTTCTTTCTTTCTATATAAAATAGGGATTTTTCACATATAACTTAGCTGCAGATTTTCAGAAGGCTGTTACACAGTAGTAGCCCCCTGGAGCATGTAAAAATCCCTAAAGTCAATTGGACTTCCTATGCATAACTTTTCATAGGATCAGACAAATGCTCTCAGTCTGCAGCGCAATTCCTCTGAAAAATTGACCTTAGTTTTGCCACAGTGTGAATGCCCTGAAGAACTGAGCCTAATACCCAGCAGAAACTTATCTAACCTAATTTTTTTCTGCATACATCAGAAAAGAGAGAAGTGTTTATTATAAAAATGGTGATGCCTCTCCTCCACCAGCAGGATCTTGCTGGTATGAAGCATTAATTTGAGACCCAAGTGTTTGTGGATGTATTTGTTTGCAGTTTGAGCTATTATGTTCAACAGTATTTTAGAGATGGTCATAAATGTTGCTATGTGAGAGATCTGTTGGAAAGCTACTTTTTGACATGAGTGACACATCGTGAGGTCCAAGGATACACAAGTAGTCAGCACTTTGTTTACACTTCTCAGGAACTAGGTTTTCTTCTGTTGCTCCTATCCTGATTGTGCCTTTCCTAGCATTGTTATTTGAATGATCTCATCAAATGAAAGAGAAAAAAAAGTCTGCTTTGAAGCATTCTTCCTCTCTTAATTTTCTTATCATAGTATCTTATTTCCTATCCCTTAGTCCTAGCTCCTATTTTATAAATTCAAATGTTTTAAAAACTATTTTAATGTTTTTATTCTCAGTATCATTCTTTGCCTGATGATTCTTTTTTTCCTTATTGGTAATCCATACTTCTTGCAGAGTGCTTAGAGCACAACACTGCCAGCTTTGTCCTGCCATACTCTAGCTCAGCGCTGGCCAACTTGGTACATCCACTTATAATATGATGAATAGTATCTGGCGCCTGGCCACACATCCTACATTCTAGCGTTAGGGTTTTTTAAGCCATCTATCCTTGCTTGTACAAATTGCTCATTCCTGTGTGGCCATAATGAAATTCTTCATTTCTCTTTTCAGTCTTCTGACAGCCTGCTTAACATTTGCCACAATCTTCTCGCGAGATTTTTGAATTTATTTTTTTTTTCCCCAATTGTTTTCTGCTTGTGCTATTCTTACTACTATGTGAATGATAAATTACTCTAATTGGTAAAATCTTTTTCTTTTAATTTTGGACCCTTTTTAGGATTAAACAATCCAGTTTTCTATCTACACTTTCTTAAAATTACACTTCCTTACAATATGAACTCCATTTTTATCTGCATTCACATTTATTACCTTAGGCAATAATAAATTCTTATTAGTTTTACAGTTATATTCCCTTATATTAATCCGATTTATTTCTGAAGAAGAATAACATTCTTGAGAATATATCACCACATATGCCAGCATATGTGGGCCCACCATGTCATCAAAAGACTGTGGAAATCCAAGAGAAGATACAGAGAAATGAGAGAAGGACAGGTAGAGCTGTGATGCTAATACTGAACTGATAAAGTACCAATTCCAGAGTGGAATGGGTGGTTGTGGAGGCTTAATATTTTGACCAATTGAATCACCTTTACTTTTCTTTTCTACAATTTAGTTCATATTATTATCTCAGTTGGGTTGCCAAGTCTTTAGAGGATATTCTGCATAAAGTCTTCTATGAAGCAGGTTGATGAACTTTGGGGGATTATTAAGTAAGTCCCCATAGTTACTGTGGCTTGATGGGAGGTTTCTGGAATATGGGAAACTCCTGGAACCTAGGCAACAATGTAATTAACTAAAAAACTCAGTTTAAGTATGGAATTAAGTCATAACAGGGTGGACAGAGAATGGCTGAGACATCCCTGTATTGAGTATCTTGTTAAAGGCAGTAAGTGTCTTAAATTACAATAGGATTTTTGTTTTTCCTTCTCCAATTTATAGAATTTAGAATAAAAGAAAACTAAACATCAGACAAGCAATACTTCATTTTAGATCTGAATCTGAACTTCTGTAACCACAGAAATGGATGGTGATATGAGAGGTGAGAAATGTACATCAGAATTATAGCCACCTGTAAATAATATCTCTGGACAGCAGAAGCCCGAATTTAAAAGCCATTTATAATTGCATTAGTACTCATACTAATGTGCTAATGTTGGTTAGTAATGTTTTCATTTAAAAATGATCTTAAACTGCAAGCTCTCTTATTTGCCTCATGAAAACCTAATATCTGTATAAGATTTCAGGAAACATAATGAAAAGTTAGTATTTGCCTCTAAGCATATCAAAGGAACTCTGCAAGCTGCTGCTGAGTGCATTATAGAAGTTATTTCTACCTACATAGTCAATGATTTACCAGCATCCAGGTAGCAGTTACCAGATGTTGTTTGTTTGTTTGTTTCTGAATGCATACTTTTTAAGGATAGAAATATTAATATTGAGAGACTCTCAGTGGTTCAGGGAACTGAAGAGAACTATAAAAGTTTTCCATTTTCTGCCTTAGGTCAAAATGCTCTCTAAGCAGTGCCCACCAAAGCCCTCATTGTATAAGAAGTATTCGAGAGTGTGTGAGAGCATGTTTTCTGGTCCTAGATCTGCCTATGGTTCTGCTATATAGTATGGGATCACAACTCAAATTGTTCGTTGGCATACATGACACTGAGAAGTCAAAGGAAAGGTGCCAGAACCAATAGGCTCTTTGATGCCTGCAGCTGTCTTTACAGGGCCTAAGATGCAGGTCTAATATTTGTTTTGACAAACGGTAGACTGTCCCATGGAAGTGGTACATACGTACCTCTCACGATGAGTAAATACACTACAAACCATATTAGAAAGAAATGCAACAGCACGTCAAGTATGGACTACAGCCAAAATCTTTCGGTCAATGTACTGGAACGGACTGACTCACTGGCAAAAATACACCAATAAGACAGTCAAGAACAAATTGTATTAAAAAAATATACATTTGGTTGTGTTACTAAAAATGGTGGATTGCCAAAACTGACTAAGAATAATTGCTTCTTTATATTTTCTTCTGCCAGGGCAATGAAATTAAATTGGTCTGCTTAGTCATACTTTTTGCTTGGAGTCACCGAGCTGTTTTGCTCCTGTGAAAGTCAAAGGGTACAATACATTTTATTTTGATGTGACTTTGTAAGCAGTTAGAAAAAAATAATCAGACAAAAATATCTATCCTATTTTCACACAGTAAAAATAAGTTCAAGCATTTTCACAGACATACAGTTTAATTAAAGGTTTTGCTTGAGAGAATATAGATTTTTGGAACATAAACCACATCCTTGAAAGTGGTCTGTTAAGTTAGTAGGAATGTCATGAAATACGCTGTAAAAGTCTACACATGAAAGCTTCTTAATTGGGTGATATTTGGCTATTCCAATTCTTGATTAGGAATATCAGGATCAGAATCAAAATTAAGGAGAAATAATCCTTCTATTCTAAAGATTTAAAATGATGGTAAAATTATTTAGTCCATATTTTGATTCTCAGGAACAAAGAAAGAGCTTGAAGGTGGTAAGTACAATTTATGAAGATCACTACCTTTTGTAGATTCTTCTTTCATTTTATCCCATCCCCAAACAATGAAATATTCTTAAATAAATAAACAAACCTTCATTTTTCATCACTGAAGTTACAGCTTTCAAATTAAGTATGAAAAGATAATTTTCCCAAGTACTGGTTTCATTACAGAATGAGTTTGAAAGAAGATAGAGCAAAGGTGTTTGTGATATTTTGTGAGTGAAAAGACAAATTGTCCTTGAACTTTGCTCTTTAAGGATCAGTGCAAAGAGTCTTCTTTCAATTAATTTGTGAAAGATGCATTAGGGATTGGGGGAAGGAGGACAAAGGAAAGAAGAATCCTTAATTGCAATCTTAAGCAATTGCATGCAATCATGTTTCAGGATTTTCTTGCCTGAATACATCCTATTGCATTGTAACCACACACTCGGATGCTGCTGAACATCCAGAACGAAGATTGCTTCTAGTTGCCCTCTTTAAACCACTTCTCCTGTCCTCAAATGCCATGTTGCTGAATTGCCACTCTCCGGTTAGAAGGGCGACACATCAGAAATTGCATCTCTGAAAATGAAGCTACAAGACAAGAAACACACAGAGATTAACTATTACATTTATAAAAATATATATACTTTGCACTTTTGAATTCAAAGGCTACAACCACATCCAGAAACTAAAATTATATTAAAAAAAAAAAGGAAAAAAAGAAAAATCCTGATATAAATCAATTATTTTATTTTTTAAGAAGTGACTTTGTCTTCACATTACTTCATTATTGTTGACACTACACTTTATTGTATATATATGAGGAATTAAAATTAATTACAAACACAGATTATTAGTCTGTTCATAGTAGGTTGAGAACGCTTTCCTCATAGAGCAATAAATCAAAAGACATTGGCCAAGGCTCATTTCTTGCTATTGCCCTTGGTTTGATCCATTGTTCTAAAAACAGTAAGTTAAAAATATTTTTGTCCGTGGAAAATGTCAGTTCAGCAGCTCTGCTAGCATTTGGAACCTCTGCTGCCCCCCTCCTTTTTTTTTTTTTTTTTTTTTTTTTTTTTTTTTTTTTTTTTTAGCAGGAGGCATCCTGAGTCCTGGGTGATCGCATTTCACTGTCAGACCTCGTGCATGCTGCAGACCCAAAAGGCTTCAGTAGTGCTGAAACGAGGCAGAAAGTTTGTGCTGCCGCTTTCCCAGCCGAACCAAGTCCAGACAAAGCAGATATTCACTGCCCAGAGCTGCTTCTCCGGGCAGCTCTGGGGATGCGGGGCTGTGCGCAGCCTCCTCCTCCTACCGGTGCGCAGAGCTCCAGCACGGGCACACTGCCCCTGGCACAGGCGCCTCTTTCACCGTGTATTCTACGAGAGCACCTGGTTTATTTATTCCAGCTATTTACACACACTTTATTTTATTGTTATTATTATTCCCCCTCCCCCCTTGCAAACAGAGCTGGGGAGAGAGGAGGGACAGCGGCACTGGGGAGGCTGCGGGCACCAGGGTTGAGGGGGTTGCGGTCGCTGCGGTCGGTGACAGCTCCGTGCCCAGCGGCCCCGCGACCCCCGGCTCCCCCAGGGCCGCCCAGGCCATTTTGGGGGTGGGGTGCTGCAGGCTGGAAACACGGCAGGTTGGGGGGGCTGAAAGGGCAGAATTATGAAGGAGGGACCCCGGGTACTTTGCGTTAGTTTTGCGACTTTCCCTTCACGCCTCGGATGCTGAGTTGATCACGGCTCCTAGGACAAGCTTGTGTATGAGCGGGGAGGGGGGGAGGGGGGGAAGGGGGAGAGCTGGGGGAGGGGAGAGGAGGGGAGTATTAAAAAAAAAATATCTTAAACTCTTTCCTTCAGCTCCGTGTTTTCAAATGCAAATCGGGAGATAGATTGGCTCGCGCCCCACCCCCTAGCCCTGCTCCTGATTTTTATCCAAAGGGCTCCATCTGTATATCCTGTCGAGGAGGAGAGGCGGGGGGCTCGGGGCGCGGGGCCGGGCAGGCTGCTTGCTCTCCGGGTCCCTGCTCAATAGGCACCGCTGGAGGTACAAAAAGTCGCCCTGCCTCCTCCGCGCCCGCGGACCGAGCTGGCAGCCGGCACCGGCCGCTGAGCGGTGACATCCCCTGCCCAGAGCAGCATCCCCACCTCCTCCGTCTCCTTCCCTCCCTCCCCCCCTCCTTCCATCCATCCATCCCTCCCTCCCTCCTCTTTCTCCTCTTCCTCCTCCTCCTCCCGCAGCCAGGATCCGCACCCAGTCGGAGCTGGGCTTGGCACCGGCGCCCACTTCTCCCTGCGTGCGCCCCGCTGCTGGCCGCGCTGTGCCGTGCCGTGCCGTGCCGTGCCGTGCCGCGGAGGAAGAGGAGGAGGAGGAGGAGGAGGAGGAGCGGGGCAGCGGCGGCACTCCTGCCTCCGCGGGTGCGGGCGAGTGCGCGAGCGGGCGCGCAGCCCCGATGCCAGGCGGGTGCCCGGCCGCCGCCTGGGAGCATCCCACCAGCACTTCTCCGCCAAGGCACCGCCGGCCCTTGGGATTAAAATACTCACTGCGCTGGGCAGCCGAGGGACGGCAGGTGAGTGAGTGCCGGCTGCACCTGCCCCCGCCGCCTTCCCGTGCGGGCAGGGGGGGGTGGGAGCAGCTGCGGGCAGGGGGCTGAGCGCGGCTCCTCTCCCCCGGCCCCGCACCGCTCCTGCTCGGCAGCGGCCGCGGCAGCAGCGGCAACTTTCCTCCGTGTCTCTCCGCCGTGGTCTCCTCTCTGCCGTGCCGGGGGGCGGCGGGGAAGGGAAGAGAAGGGAAGGGAAGGGGCTGCCCGGGGCACCGCGGCTGGCAGAGGCCGCCCAAGCGCCGGTTGTGGCCGGGGAGTGGTGGGAAGTGAGAGGGAGCACGGATGCTCCACGCTTGTGTGCACCTACTGCAATAAAAAGGAAAAAAAAAAAAAAGAAGAAGAAGAAAAAAAAAGAACAATAGCAACCCTCTGACTCTTCGGAGAAGTCTCGCAGACAAGGGGGGAGATGGAGTGGGGGAAGGGAGGGCTACAGACTTGTGTAAAATGTAGGCAGCACCAAGTCCCGACTGCCTCGGTCCTTTCCGCTAAAGCAAAGCGGTTGCCTTGCTGGCTGAGTCCAGCTTTCATGCTACAGAGCAATACTGCGGAGGCCAGGAAATTTCCCGAGAGTTATTTCCCAGAGCTTTCTTCCTTTTATGTCAAGGATGTTCTGGAGTTTGCAAATGTGAAAATGATGGGAGCTTATTTCTTTGATTAGCATTCAGCTGGTAAGGCAGGCTCTGCAGTGCTTGGCAGTTTGATACTGACCCTTCCCCCCTGCCCCGTTCCCTCATTTATCCACATATCCACACACAGACAGGTCCTGCTTTCCTGTAATAGACCGTGTGCACTAGTAGGAAGTATTTTGTGATCTGGATCCAACTTCTAGTCAGTAAACAGAGGGAAATATCCCATTTTGATATAGGATTTAGCCTTCATACCCCATGCTTTCCAAAGGTGAGGTAGTTCAGGTGAGCCAGGATTCTGCAAACAACGATAGCTTTCCCAGCAAAGCAGAGGATTTAGGGAGGGAGGGGAGACTGAGACTAGTGAAGCACTCTGATTCTAGGAACTGAAATGCTGATACTTTAATCTTTTTCCCATTGCAAGATTAAAAAAACTCTCATGTTCTGATAGATAACTTCTCAAGTCAAAGCAGAGACTTGAAAGGGCAGTGTATACTTTATAGTCTCTCTAACAAGACAAAGTGCCTTGCCATTTTCTCAGCTAAAACATAGGTGATCGTAAAGCTTTGCAGAAAACAAATTGCTTTCCAGGACAAATAAGTAAATAAGTAGATAAAGGAGCCAAACTCTTGCATGTCATTTTCTGTAACAGCCTCTCTGTGATAGTGATATGTGACTTTACTTTTTTACCTTTATCGTATCTACTAATTGCTCCTCTGTTACATGTTGTGAAGTCTGTAGGAGATTGTTTCTGGTAAAAGGTAGATGTTATTCTGTTTCTGGAAAAGATAGATCTATCTAATCTCAGGTGAAGAGCTATTCAGATGAGCAAGTTAAATTAACAGCATGCAAGTTGTATAAATAAGTTTGGTTAGAATTTTGCTTTTGAATGTACAACAGGTCAGAAGATAAAGATTAGTTGGGAAATGGTGCTGGTTTGCTCTTAGTAATATCCTAACAGTTTTAAAAATGCAAAAGTGAAATGAGAATGTATAGAAACAATAAGCATGCCTCATTTGAAACTAGTTCAGTGTGACTGTGGTGTTATCATTTTTGGGGGGGGAGGGGGAGGCACCAAAAAAGTCCAAACCAACTCTCTTGGGACCAAATGTGACATTCTGTTTAAATTCCTTGTACACACTTTTCTATCTCTCACAGCCTGCAAATACCAGAGGATCTAATCTAGACACGCTTCTTTTGGGGGGACATGAAGAAAGCCTAAATAAGATTAAAAAATAATTACAGTAAAATCCACAGGAAGCAGAGCAGAGCAAAAACGCTGAAAGCTGACTCTGACAACTTTTTATGTTATGTGGAATATTCTGGGTTTGAGAATTTAGTAGATTAAAAACTGCTGGGTTAATTAACTAAGTATCCAAGTTAATAATCTGAGCTACCACTGCATTTTAGAAATGTGAGTGAATGTGAAGAAAAAAACCAATCTCTGGTAAGTTAGAGTGTTTTCTTGAAACAAACAGACAAAAAAAATCATTTAATACTGGAGTTTTAGTCAGAGGGCATTTCACCCTTATAATGGAAGACTTTATTGTAATTAAAGGCTGCTGTAGGTCATTAGAAATGTGTTTGTTAATAATGTACCGCATGACAGCTTCAGAGTTCTTTTAAGTCTACTTTTATTGATATAATTGCAAAGCACTCTTGGTTATTTGCTATTGATTTAATAGCAAGGAAATCTTAACATAGAAATCTTACCATAGAATGGTTTGGGTTGGAAGGGACTTAAAGATCGTCTAATTCCAACTCCGCTGCCATGGGCAGGGACACCTTCCATTAGACTACACATATAAAAAGGTAATTGTGAATCATTTGTTTAACTGCAGATTACCCATGACCTATCTGATAAGCAGAATGGATCCTTCTCATGGATCCTCAGTGTGTTCTATCCATGTTTTTCTATGTTTCTTCAGTTGTCAGATGCTTGGCTCAAGAAAATCATTATTAATGCAAAACCCTGGTTGTTTTACTCTAAATTAAAGTCCTACTTTGCTGTAAACCTGGCTAAGCCTTTTCTCAAAGGTAATCAGCACAAAAACTGACTCCAACGTGCAATGAAAATAGAAGGTATTTCCAACTAAAAATGCTTGTCATATGAATATACTACTCAGAAGGCAGATTTAGTGGCAGATTGACTATTTTTTTTTTTTTTTTTTGGATATTGATGTAATATCTGATCTGTTCAGTGTTTCTTCAATGAATGCTTTTCCTGAGCCATCCAATTTATTCAATTTATTTTAGTTATTTTAGTTTAACACTTCTTCTCTTCTCTATCTCTCTCTCTCTTTTTTTTTTTTTTTTTTTTTTTTTTTTTTTATGTATGCTTTCATGCTACTACTGGGTATTGTTTTCTTGTAGGAATAAAAATCATTAAATTCTAGCTGAGGAAGGGTGTATAAAATATATGACAGCTACTTCAGTCCTGCCTGTCAAACTAGGTTTAACTCTAAGCAGTAATGCAGGAGTGCCTCCTCTGGGAATTCAGTGGTTCTGCAAGAAAATGCCACGAAGTCATTTCTTCCCTTAGGTATTATGTGAAATTCCTCAATTTAAATGAGGCTGCAGAAATTGAGCTTGTGGAAGTTTAAATATTTGACTTGATTGGTCTCACACATACAAGTACTGCTAGCGTTTCTTTTCAATAACTGATCTAATTAGCATTTTCCTTTCCAGCAACTCTAGATCTATAAAATGTACCAATGTACCATAGCAAGGTGAAAAACCAACAAAGCACTTTCATATGGAGAAAACGATATAAAATTTCTTTCGTCATTTTTTTCTAGAGGGAGGGAAAAAAAAAAAGTATGAACTCTCCAGTGACATCAAGTCTTACAATCAACTGCAGAATATTGTGAAACACCAAAAACAGTCGCTTGGTTTTCTTTCTGCATTTTGTGAAGCCATATCATTTATTGAAGTGTGCCTGGTGTTTTTCTGTTGTGTTGTCAGGTCCTTTCACCTGAGTCAGAGGGTATTGGAGCCAGCTTAGTGTAACAGTGCCATATGTTTGGAGCAGTGATAGTTTCTTGCTTGATAACCAGATGCAGACTTCAGGATGTGCTCTCCATTTACAGATCTCCCATGTGAATATTTAGGCCAGTTAGCTGCAGGAGGTTGTGGTCTGTAGATGTAATGTCATCTGGCACAGGGAGTTAACAGGTTTGATCATACTGCCTTGACTCACAGACCTTCATTTCATGGGAGGGTCCCCACTTCACTTGCTCTAAGGCACCCTCCTTTTTATTTTATTTATTTGTTTATTTCCATGAAAAAATGTTGCAACCAGATGTTGCAATCTGCAACGTAATTAAACATGTTCTCTTCTCTAACCCTTTTGTCTCAAGGATCACAGAGTTCCTGTACCTGCAAAAAGAGTCCCTGTGATATTTCAGATGTGTGACATTGTTGTGAGCTTACAGCTCCTCCAAGGGGAATTTCCTCTTCCACAGAAAGTGATACCTTTTCCAATGGGCATTGTAAAACTGAATGTCAAAACATAAATATTTCAGCAAGATTAGTTCAGCTGTCAGGGGGCTCACTTGCTGATTCTGCTGTGCTTATGGTATCCTGGTTCAAGATCCAGTGGCAATAGTCACCCTCAGAATTATCTCAACATAAAGGGTCTTGTTCTATTGAAAGGCTAAAGTGTGTATGGGGAAGGGGTGAGAGGGGAGGTTGGTAGGGGAGTGAGAGGGAGGCTGGGAAGGAAGGATAACTGTGTGCTATTGATCAAGCTAAAATAATCAAGCTAAAATAAAATTTACTCACAGGTATTTTCAGGGCTGCCATTCCAGAGACAGTGAGATCTGAGTTTAAACAGTATATTTTTGCTATAGTATCAAAAATTGAAGCAATCTTAGGAGAGGAGAATAAGGGGTGGGGGAGGCAATAGAAATGAAAAACTCTTCACTTAAACCTTAAATGGATGCTCTGAACTGACACTGAGTTTTCAAAACAGAGAAATGTAATCCAGTCAGGTGGAGTCTAGGAAAAGGTATTGGATTTCCACCTCTTCTTCCTGAAGTATTTTATATGTTGCAAAGACTTTAGGACAATATATGCTGATGGACAAAATTCTATGTTTGGCTGACAAGGTTGATAGGGAAATAATATGGTTCATATATTAAGCTGGCACTGTGATACGAGCAGCAATGTGTGAGTGGAAATCTGTAGAAATCTGTGCTTTGGCTGAAAAGTTTAGGTGGCACCAAAAAGACCTCAAGAGCTTTCACCAAAGGCCCAACGAGACCACGGAAAATTCAGAGGTGGGGAAGGAGGCCTTTCATGAGGACATCTAGGGGACTGAATACATGTTTTGTCCGTATCTAGTGGGGCTCAGGGGTACATGAGTATAGCCAGGACTACTCTTGATGTGTTGTTTTAGAAATTATGGAGTGAAACAAAATATTCAGAGAGATTTTCAGTGGGTGTAAATTGCCCTTAATTGCTTGCAGTGAAGGGAACTATTCCTTAAAGCTGAGGATCTTATTCATGATCTGAATGTTTTCATCAAATCAAGATTGCCCCTTGGAGACAGTGCATAATGGTGTCTTTTTGACACTAGCAGATTGTTTTGGCGAAGTAGAGTAGTAACATTTTTCAGATTAGCAGTGTTCACGAGAACACTTCTGCTACTAGTCTGTGGCTTAAATATAGCCCAACTTCTCTACAGCAGATGGGAGAAAATGTAAATTTTATGGTATATATTGAATAAGGAGGTTATTATTTTTTCAGATGTGTATTTTTCATTCTGATGTTTTATAGATGAACCAAGTATTTAAGAACACACCATGAGAGAGTTGATATTCAGTGTGTGTTTGTGTGTGTGTATATATATATATATATATATATATATATGTTCAAAAAGTATGTTATGTGATTTGGACTGTGCTTGTAGTGTGTCTTACCATATCAGTAATATGCTGTCTAGGTGAACAACTGCAAGAAATCCCATCCTCCCCCCCCCAAACTTCACATATATATTCACATGTATATTCACATATATATTTTTGGGGGGAGGATGGGATTTCTTGCAGTTGTTCACCTAGACAGCATATTACTGATATGGTAAGACACACTACAAGCACAGTCCAAATCACATAACATACTCTTTGAATTGCACACTGGTTGTTTGGGTTTATATTTTTTTATATTTGTGAATTTTGGTACTATATGTAAAGTAAATAAGGAATACGAGCTTAGATGTAGAAGGTAGAGCATCTTGCTTAAAATACATGAGCAGTCAAATTCATTTTATTTTTAAAAGCTAAATTACTTTTCATGAAGGAAAAGCTTGAAGAGACATTATTGTACCTGAGACCCTGTTTGAGGAGGGAAGTAGCATTTCATGGAATTAGAAACATTATATGAAGATGTACTAATTTCCTAGAGTAACTAAAGACATTAATTACAGGTACAAATATTTCTCATTTCTGGATACTCTGTTTGTACAGAACAGGTTACCATTTCATAGATGAGAATGCTTAAACACAAAACAGTGCAGGTCAATTTTGCCTTCATTTCTCACTCAAGTGCATAAATGCTGATGATAGAGAAGGCACCTAAATCAGAGAGCTTCATTCCATCTATTGATGTCATTGTTCTTCATATCTGTAGCTGCAAGTGCTCTCAGAACATTAAGTTTATGCCTTGGTGAAGAGAAAAAAAGCAACCTTTTAGTTTACTTCTTAGTTTTCTGAATGCCATGATATTGTTTGTGTTTTACATATCGACTTCATACATAGGCATTTCACAAAGCAGATGATAAAGTGCTAGTTATGCTTGAACAAAAACATAATATATATACATTTTACACATAACCATAAAAAATTCATATAAATATATACATCTATATCAGAACAAAAGATACAATTTAATACAATTTAAGAAGTAATTATTCCCAAAACAGAAAAAAGAATTAAACACCAGACACTTTTACTTCTGTTTTGGGAAGTATGACACTCAAAAAACGATGTGCTGAAAGGACTATAAATAAAAACCTTAAAAAAAAGGGGGGGGGGGGGGGAGGGTGCACTCTTAGAGGAATGGGAAGATTCCTCCTGAAGGGGAGGAAGGGAGGGAAGAGTGCTTCAGTACAAAGTGCTGCCACACAGCTGAACAAAAATAATTGGAATTCTGGAGACTGTGTGGTGAAAAGATTTGAGAACGAGTAAATGACAACATTATTTATTTATTTATTTTTTTCCAGGGGGTGTGAGTATTCTGTTTTTCATCAGATTGTGCTGTCTAGCATATGGACTGTTTTTCAGTTGGTATTTTGGGTGCGTTTTTCAGTTCTGTGCTGTGGTGTGTGGCTGGGGACCATGGAGCTCCATATGGTGGCTTTCATACTTCCCTGCAGGTGTAAAAGAAAGGATATAAGAGAACACTGTTCGAGATAAAGGTTAGAGCAATTCTAGATTTGAAATGTCTGTTCAGAGCAAGAACAAGACATTTCAAACTGCTTAGTGGAAAGACTCTAACATATTGTAAATGTTTTACTGACATTTCTTAAGAAAATCCATTTCATATTTTTATCTCTGTTAAGTAACAATCTGCTGCTTCTTTGAAATAAACTGACAGTTTATCAATATCAGATGTATTTAACCTAATGTAGCTTAGATACAGAGAAGGAAACTAAAGGGTGTGCAAACAGCCTGTAATACAGACAATATTTTTCATACTTGAAAGGAGTGGTAGGAAGTGAATATGCCACTTGGGAAGCCCAACTACTCTCCTTAACACCTGTGGTAGCCCTTTTGGTTATTACAATGTCACCTGGTCATGATTTACCCTATGGCCCACATCAAAACCTAGCTATGACTAGTTGGGATTAATCATTTTAAATTACGCTCTGCTAGTGACGATGGCACCTGCATGTTAATCCTGCTGCCAAAAAAAAAAAATCTTGGTGCAGATTGGAGGGATGTGTTTTTTAACTGTGCATCACATTTTGAAATTTAGAATGTTTAGGTAAGACAGCACCTATTCCCATTGTTTTGCATGTATAGAGACACTAAATTTTCACATATGGAAGCTTTCAAATAGCTGCTGCTTAGCATACATGCTCAGTGGGTTTGTGGTTTATCCCACCATTCTCTAAGCAAAGCCTTTCTGGTGCAGGGCAGTACCACAGAAGGGATTACTATAAAAAGGCTTTAAATACAGTCTATAATCAGAAGAGCTTTTTATTTGTTTCGTGTTTGTGCCCTCTAGGTACCTTTGGCTGCATGGTAGGTACATAGTATTGTAGCTAAAAGAGCCTGACATAGTGAAATCAGATATCAGAGATCGCATTCCAATCACTTATAATAGTAGTGGGTAGGAATATGAGTTTATCTAGAGCATTTAATGCATACGTGATTTAATGTCTACTGCATAATGTGATTTAATATAATGTATAAAGGATGCAATCTTCTTTCTTCCATGGCTTCCTAAGTAGCAACAGCTCACTCTAATTGAAAGCCTTGTTATCCGTTTTAATTTCATCCTCATTTTCACCTTGTATTTGGCACTTCTTAAATACTTCTTGTCTGCCTTATTGCTCACTCAGACAAGGAGAATGCCTGTTTCAGAGACAGCATTGCTTACTTGGGCTTAATGCAGATGATTCCCTTGAAATACAAAGCTGCATTTGGTTCTGGCTAACAGAACTTGTATAATCATTATATTATGTATATATTTTTACTTGGCCAGAGAAGGTTTGTAACTGTAAGATGCACTTTAAAAAAGGATTGATTTAAATGTTGTTCAAAGTTTTTATAGTTTTTGTAAATGATTCTTTATTCTTGGCAAGTTCCACCAATTACTAAATGATCAAGGTTTTGAAAAGGAAGCAGACAATATGCACAGAAAAATAAAACTTATGTGTATTTTTGTTGAAAAATCATTCATCATTAACGTAAGGTTTCACTGAAAACGCAAAATCAAATAATTTTCTGATCTTGCTGAACATATATGTGTTAAAGTAAGTACATAAGCTATTCTAACATGCTTCTTATCATGCCTGATATTTGCTTTAGAAATGTAGAAAAAATGAGTGGGGACACTCGGAGGGCTTTTTAGCCAGTCAGATTCAGATAAGAACAAATCATAACATCTGGTCTACTGTGACTAAGAATCAATCAAATTTTTCTGATTCATCTTATACTCCATTATTTTACTCTTCAGTTATATGGAAAAGAGAAGCTAACATATGTCCTTTCCATTAATATTGCTTCCCGTCTGTAACTGTTTTATAATTATGTCATAGTAATGTCAAGTAAAGCTGACTATAACAGGCAGAGGAGGAAAAATCAAAGATAATAACTGTAAAATAATTACACTTGTTTTGCTTATTTTAAGGAGAAGAAAATTCAGCCTTTGTACTGGGGAAATGGGTATATTAAGAGAACAGTCACAAGAAAACTTTATAAATAAAAAATACATATTGATCACTAGTAGCAAAATCCAAGGAATGAAGTCTAAACTCACAGACTAATTAGTAAACTCAACTGTGTTGATGATTAGAAAAATCATAAATAAACATTTCTGCATTATGTAAATGTTGCAAAGAATTTACATTAGTAAAATAAATAAATAAATGAAATTCCGACAACAGTTCTTGCCTTTTTTTTTTTTTTTTTTTACAGATAGGTACCTGTTATGCCATTTCTTTGGTGAAGGCTACTCAGCAGTGGTGACCTCTCCCAATCGACCACTCCACAAATTATTATCATTGGACTCCCAGCTGACACCCTGCTGGAAGCTAGAGCTGCAGAGACAACTGGAATTGTGCCTGCTCTTGTCAAAAGGAGAAAAAAAAAAGATGAAGTTGGGCAAAGTGGAGTTCTGCCATTTGTTGCAGATAATAGCTCTTTTCCTGTGTCTTTCTGGGATGAATCAAGCAGAGCCCTCAAGGTCCAGGTCAAAGCCCTACTTTCAATCAGGGAGGACAAGAACCAAACGCAGCTGGGTGTGGAATCAATTCTTTGTGCTGGAAGAATACATGGGCACAGACCCACTCTATGTAGGAAAGGTAGGGGATTTAACCAAACATTGGAAAGTACAGATGCCTGCTTTTTGATGTGTTTATCTGGTGTAACCTGAAAATTGAAACGCTGTCAGTGTGTCTGACATAAACCAGGATGGGACAAAAGTTATGCAGATTGAAAAAGAAAAACCTTTAGCACTTCAAAACAGCAATGCATCATGTTTCTGATCGCTCTCGTGATTTTCTTTAAGAGTTTAATCTATTGTCTATGCTTCTTTAAGGGAGTACAATAATGAAAGTGCTTTATGATTACTGATACAAAGACAATATTTTATTACTAATATTAGTTGTTTTGTTACGTGGGAATACAGAAGTATAATAATGCATATTCTTTCCTAAGAACAAAAAACTAGTCCCAGAAAACAGCATTACAATATTATCCTGTTTGTTCCCTAAAGACTGGCACTATTATGGTCAAGAGAGAAAGATTCAGGCATCTAGGGGTGTGACAAGTGGAAAGGAGGGCACGTCTACGTTGCTGCTATGCTTTGATGTTGCTTGGCTGGCAGAGCGGCACCTTGGGGGCCTCACTGCCCTCTGAGCATGGCATAGCCTTTTGGCTTTACCCACCCTCTGATGGGCACCAGGCCAGCACAGAACAAGCCCTTGCATCAGGGCATCCCAAATGGCTTATTGTCAGCGGCCGTAGCTGCATGTGGAACACACTGAGCACAGCTGTGAATCTGTGCCTTAGCTCATTCACTGCGTTGTGCTGGTGAGTAATATGCTTCAGCAAGTATTGAGCAAAAAAAAAAACCACCACACAAAACAAAACAAAAAAACCATCCAGCCTTCTTGTACTTCTATGTAACATTTATGTGTAATCATCTTATTGAAAGAAAAACTCATTTCTCTATGTAATATGAGAATCAATAAATGCAGTTTCTCATTAAGATATAGCAAATGCATAGAAAACAAGGGAGTGACAAATTTTTGCAAAATGGTAGGCTTACAGAAAAAAAAAAATGTAATCTGAAATCCACTACTTCAAATGTACGAGTGCAGGGAATTTCAGCTTACTTGATTTGCCCTACTGAGACAAAAACCTTAATGTTTTTGTTAACACAGCTAAGTACTTAGAATTTAATCATGCCATCAAATAATCAAGTTGAATGGCGATCTGTTCTTGTGACTAAGGCTATGGTTGTGTTTACGTGTTTTTCTGAACTGGAGCTAGTATTATGCACAACTGAGCACTAAAGGAGAACTAGAATAAACAAATATATGTATATTTCATTTCAAGCATCATGAAAGTTTTTGTTAAGTTAGAGGTTAGGTAGCAGTTTCAACTTGGAAACTACTTGGCTTTGTAAGGTCTTTTTTTTTTTTTTTTTTTTTTTTTTTTTTTTGGAGGGGGGTGGAGTGAAGAGGAGTGAAGAGGAAAGGGAGAATAATATATTTGGAAAGGAAAATAGTATATTTGGCATTTTTACCTGGTGATATAAAAGGATGTGTGGCTTACAATTTAGAATTTCTCTCCTGGAAAATAAATGTCTTTAAATACTTGACAGAAGTCTGGTTTTGATCTGTAGCAATTCTCATATTCACTAGATTATTGTGTTTTGGCCAAATATGCTGTGGTAACACTGGAGTACACGACGTGATTATTTTTAGCTTCACAGTCTGCTTTTTCCAGTCCTTTCCAGGAGTCCTAGCATTCATATATATATATATTCTGAAAAGCAACCCCTTCACATCTATTTTTATTTATTTTTTTACTAGTAACAGTCTGTGCCCAGCCTGCCTTTGTATCAGCAGTATGAATTGTTGGCTCAAGAATTCACATTTGTACTGGCATTTTGTAGGAAAAGCAGACATAAATTTGCACTTTCAAAAGGAAGCACATTTTCCTGGAAACAGAGCCCTTGCTGAGCATCTTATAAGATAAGATGTGCCCAGTTCCTAACCTTCACTCTGGAGAGGCTTTTTACTGTGTGGTTCCTGAGGTGCAATCACGACCAAAGCTGCATTCCCATGCAGGGGAGAAAAAAGGTGAAGAAGTGATTTTCGTTCTGTGTGTTAACATATTATATGGAGTACCACTCTGAAGTGAGCAGCAGTCACCTTCCTCCCCCTTTCTTCCCCCTAAAAATATTGCTGTGCCTGTTTCAAAGCCTCTGTAGGCAGGTAGGGACTGAGGAGATTGAGATTTGGATAGAAGGGTAGGTTTTTTTCCTTCCTCTTGGTGAGGAAAGTGAAGAACTGGCATAACTCACTTCTCTCATCAAGTGAAGTGGAAACAGCAACCAGACTCTGCTTCATATTCTGCAGAGCATTCTGCTCCTGGGGAGGTCAGTCCTATGCTACCTGAAGTTCAGGATGCTTTGCAGGGTGCCAGTCTGACCGTGGACACCCAGGAAGGAGGAACCTGCCTTCAGATTTTAATGGCTGTGAGAGAAACTGCTTCAGAAACAAGCAGGCAAATGGAGCTGTGCTAGGGAATATTTTCTCTCTGCCACTATCCAATTTTAAAACGCCCTAGGCAGTTCTGTTTGGATGAGGCAGTATTTGGAGAATGTTAGGGTTACATTGCAAATTAGTTAAAAGTCATGAAATACCAATGTTAATTCCATGTTTGGCATTAATTCTGTCCTTCTGGCTGCATGCAATTTAACATTTTAATTACATGATCATGCAAGGTAAAATCCAATTCCTTGGAAATTATATAATAGGATTCCTATTCACTTCGTTAAGATGAGTCTTTCACTTAAAATATTTTTTTTTCAATGTTTTCATATTTAGATTTCAGATCCATATCATAAGTGTATTGAATTATTGATATGTTGTTTATTTTCAGTGGTGTTTGTTTGTTTTTAAATGTATTTATTTTTTTTGAGGTACAAGGGTCCTGTTTCTCCCATCACTCTGGAGAAACCTTTGGAGAAACACCAATAGTTTTACAATAACTAATAGGAATCAGAGGTGATTGAAGTTTGTTGCTGTTACTGGTAGTTTGTTTTTGTTTTTTGTTTGCTTTTATATGTAGGTCTTTCCTCTCTGTGGTATGAATTTTAATCATCTTGGATTCAATCCTGAGTAATTCTGAGTGCCTCTTGGGAGGTGCTTAACAGTCCAGATTGTGGACTGAAACATATACAATTTCTTTCTATCAATCAGCACAGCATATTTTTTTTTTTTATTATTTTATTTTTAATAAAACAGTTGAAGAAATTAACTATTTAGCCCATTTACCCATCCAGATAGTCCCCATTATTTTCCAGACATTCCATGTAGGAATTGAAGCAGTTAACTATGATAATAATTTAGCTGGAAGCTTAGGTGGCTTCTGTTTTCCAGAAACAGTTTACTATTTCTCTATAAAATGTCTTACTCTGTATTTTCCATATAAATGAATTTAATTGAATCTACTTGGATATAAAAATAATAATATAGAACAGTTTAAAATGATTTGATATAAAAATACCTAAAATTACAAATGTATATAGTATAAATGTATATAGTATATTATATAATACTGAATATTTTAAAATCTGTTTAAAGTCACATAGTTAAAATATGGATAGGTATGCAGAGGCAAAAAAAAAAAAAGGATGCAGTTGAAGTCTAATTTTATGTCTGATATTCTTTTGTTGTTTTCCCATGTTTTTGTTACATAATTATGCAAACATTGTGTGTGTGTTTTTGTTTTTAGTTTGAAGGACTTTGTGTGTGTGTCCTTTTTGTTTGTTTGTGGGATTTGTGCTTTTTTGTTGTTGTTTTGTTTTGTTTTGTTCCTGGTTTTCTTTTATTTAGTTTCACCAGTGTTTGCCTGCAAGAATGTTGGTCTCCTCAAAAGCATTGGAATGACACAAAGCCACAGACAGTAATTCTTTTATTTGTCTAAGTAAACAAGCAAAAAACAACAACTGAATCAAAAGCAGCCCACAAATAAACTTGAAGTGAAACAAGGCTGAGAACTCCATGTGATTGAGTGTGAAAATTGATGGCTGACTTTATTATTTTCTTTTGAACCCAGACCAAAACTCCTTTTCCAATGGCTCTAGATTTATGGATGGTTAGAGACAGAGACAGTTTCAAGCACATAAGCACAATGGTTACTGAGATAAACTTTTAAATTATTATTATTATTATTATTATTATTATTTTATTGAGACCTTTCTAAGATGTGAAGGGCTGATAATAAAGGGTAACAAAGAAAATCATTGATACAGTGATATATCAAGCAGAATTTGCAGTTACGCACTGAAGCAAGGTGGAGAAAGGGCTTTCTAAGTAGCAGAACAGCAGAATAACCAGAAACGTATATTATTTGTTGGTATAGACTGTAGAATGCTTCTTCCAGACTCATCAGTTTGGAGGGAAGAAGGCTGTGGGTTTTTTGTTGTTGTTGTTTTGTTGTTTTGTTTTTTTTTTTGGTGTGACAGAATTATTCACATTTGATATTTACCTATTGCAATATGTTTGCAATATGTAACAAGCCATACAGACACAGTGAAAAGTGCATCTCTTTTCCTGGCTCATTGCCTGCCATTTTCAAATGTGCGTGGTAACTTTTGGACTATGTTGGATAATAAGTGTTCTTGGTAAAATACTTTAAATCGGTAAGTACTGTGAAAGCATTGGCCACACTCTTTCAAACTCATAGCAGTGTACCAAATACCAGTCACTGAGAAACAGAGGGAACTTCATCTGTGAATGAGAAAGCTGAGAACCTCTGAATAGAAATAAGTCCAGTAGCTTTTCATCTCTCTAGAAACCCACTACAACAACTTTACTGTCACTTTGGGAAATGGAGAGGAGAAGAAGGGAAGTTATAAGGGCTAAATTTAGGCAAAATGGGCTAGGCTGCCACATTTATAGATAAGGGAGCAGGAGGCAGGTTGGTTGTGATTCTTTTTCCTCTTGTTGTCTGTGGAGGTAACCCATGGAGACCTGAGCCCAGTCTCAGCCTTGGGCTTTTGCCTCTCCAAATAGCCTGCATAAGATAAATGTTCAAGTCTGCTCTGAAAAACTGCAGCTGAGCA